CCCGCCGCTACGCCCCGCCCCCTGGCGACGCGGCGCCCCTGGCAACGCCGAGCGCGGCGCTCATTGGGCGGCGGCGGGGAGGGGGCGGGGCCGCACGGGGAGAGATGAATTGGAAGGGGCGGGCGCCGGGAGGACACGCCCCCTCACCCGGACACGCCCCCCCGACGCTGGAGGCGCAGGGCGGGGAGCGCGCCCCACCCAGCGGCCGCCGCGGGAAGTGGCTCTTAAAGGGGCCGCGCCGCCCGCGCGCTCTGCCCGCGCTGCCGCCCCCATGGGGGCTCTCGAGCCGCCGCCCTGGGGGCAGCGCCGGGAGGGTCGTGACTCCCGTCCATAGACAGCCTGGGCGGCCAGCACTGCTGCCCTGGCCCCTCCTGGCCTGCCCCTCCAATCCCAGCCCTCCCTCCCCCCCATCTCATCCCTCTCCGGTCCCATCCCACCCTGTGTCATTGCATCCAGCCACATCCCACCCCTGATGGTCCCATCCCACCCCATCCAATCCCCCTGCAGTCCCATTTCATCCCCAGTTGGTCCCATCTCACGCTGTCCCACCACCCTCCAAGTCCATCCCCTCCCTGGTGAGTCTCATCCCATCCTATCCCACCCCACTCCATCCCCTCACCCAGTCCCACCCCATCCTGACACCTCTTGCCTTAGCCTCACCGCTACAACCCTGTCCCAACGCCTCCCAGACGTGATTCCTGCTGGGGTGACACACATTGAATGTGAGGTCATGATGCTGGTATCAGGACACGCAGCCTTGGCTCCCCAGCCTGCGGATTCCCCTGTCCTTTCTCTGCCCTCATTGTGGTGGAGAGAGTGTTTTGGGGGGATGCAGAGGGGCGCAGGGATGTGTCCCGTGTCACCCCAAGCTGGATGTACCAAACAGCTGGGAATGGTGTCTGTCCTCATSCCCCCTGTGCCTGGACCGGGCTCCCACTGCCTCCGCTCCCACCTTTCCCGGCATCCCTGCAGGCTGCCTCCGGATGCTGGGGCAGACCCTTGGCCTGCGAGGTGGCCGGACACGCAGACAGCCTCCTTCCCGGCCAGGCGTGATGCCGGCGCCGCCAGAGCCGCGCGGAGGGCAGCGGAAACCGGCCCCGCGCCCCCCGCATCCGTCTGCGTAGCTCCCGGCGTGGAGCGCCGAGCCCACTCGGAAGTTATTGACACTTCCTACGCATAGCTCTGCGGAGCCGGAGCCGCTGGGAGCCTCCCAGGAACGTCGGGCAAGCTCGGGGGGCAGTGCGAAGCCAGGGGATCCCGGAGCCCATCCTCTCCAGGGCTGCGGACGGGACATTTTCCTTGCTTTTTTTCCCCCAAAAAAGGCTTTGCCTCCCACATCTGTGCCAAGCACGGAGMGGCTGGCACAGGCCTGAGCCTGGCATGGGCTGCAGAAGGTCTGGAGGTGGCCACGCTGCAAGGAGTCTTTGCACGGGAGCCTTTGCAAGGAGCCTTTGCATGTGCGTGGAGGGGTGAAGTGGTGTCAGCAGGAGGGAAAGTCACRGAGGATCCAGATGGAGCAGCTGAGAAGCTTAAATGTGGTGCCAACACCGAGTGGGAAAATCCTGCTGTCTCCCTGCGAACTCGCCCTTGGGAAATACTCCCCTTCCGGGAGGCTGCGCCGGTGCAGCAGGAGCCTCGTGGCTTAGTGAGATGCAGAAACCTCGTTTATTCTGTAATTTCAGGGGTTTGAGTTACCCAAGCACAACATTTCTGAACGGAGCGTGTGGGGAAATTGCTTATTCACACTTGAATAACTAAAAAATGGCTGAACCAATTTCGCTTAAACTTTCCCCGAGAATTCCCTTTGGAGCCAAAGTGTGCCTGGCAAATCTCAGCCCAAAAGGAATTTTCTTTCAGAAAGCGACGAGAAAGTGGAGCAGGGAACGGGGGAGCGAGGACGCACGCTGCAATCCCTCCTCCTGTGCTCCGTAAGGAATCAGTCCCATCGGCTCCGGGGGCTATATCCTGGGACAGGCTCCCCGGGCGAGCGTCTCCAGGGCTTTTGTGCCCAGSGGGTGGTGGGTGCTGATGCTGGGATGCTCCCAGCTTTCCATGCATGGGATGGCTGGGTTGCAGCCATGTATTGCTGGAGTAAATCCTGGCACTGTTGGAAAAGCCAACTGTGAGATACAAGAGAGCGATGCGCCTAGGGCTTTCCTTGCAGGAGACATCCCAAATCCCATCCATTCCCTGCACGGCTCCAGCGCCTCAATCCCAGAGCGTGAAATTCCAGCCAGAGAGATGACCAGCTTCCCAAGCGAGCTGGATTTCCACACCCTCCTTTTAAAAACTGCCCCATCCGCAGCCGTGGCACACGCGCCGGGGATGCACGTGGGGCTGTTACCGGCCCCRGCGCTTGCCGGCAGCCGCCGCGGCTGCAGCTCACCGCCGAGCGCTCGATTAGGGAGTAATTATTGCTGCCTTCGCACAAGATCTAAGGGGCATCAAACGAAATTACCCAGCCGAAGTTTTAAAACAAACAACAGGGAGCRCATTCCCTGCCGCGCTATTAACCCGGGGAACGCGCTGCCCGGAGATAGCGCGGGCACCGGGAGCGTGTGCTTGGAATGGGAGCGGGCGAAGGCAGGCAGGGCAGGAGGGCGCTTCCAGGCGTGTGCCAGCTCTCTCCCTGCGGGAAGAGCTGTGGGAAGAGCCGTGGGAGCCGTGGGCAGGGGTCAGGCCCTGGTGCTGGTGAGGCCATGCGCAAGGCACAAGCGGAGGTTTGCAGGCGCCGCGTTGCAGCAGGGCTCCGTGCCGGGGACATCGGCCTGGCTCCAGGTGGGACACACAGCCGGCGGCTCCAAGCGGGACACCCCAGCCGGCTGCTCCAATCGCATGTGGCTGCTCCGCTTCCTCCCGCAGGGCCGTTCCCGCTCGGCCCCTGCCCGGCTCGCATCCCGGAGGCCCCTGTGCAGCCCGGCGGGGCCGCGCGCAGCCGCCGGCATCCCCGGGCAGGGCCGCGGCGCCGTTCCCGGGCAGGTAGGGCCGCTTTTCCCAGCTCCCGAACCCGCTCGGCAGGCGCGCGGCTCCCGCCGGGTCAGCTCGCCGGCTCCAGCCTGTCTCTTTCCCAGGCTCGCTCCGYGCTCGCCCCTCCGGGCTCTCCTCCCCGGGCGCTGCCAGGGTTATGGGGCCAGCTGGCAGCGCCAGCCCGGAGCTGGGAGGGCACCTCGGGAGCCCTGCTCCAAAACTCACTCCCGTCCCACCCACATCCACCCGCCCCCCTCACCTTTGGCAGCGCCGGGATGCAGTTAAACACTTCAGCACTTAAAATTTCAGGTGCTAATTGCTTAGTAATGAAAACTTTAATCACAGGGCAATTAAAACCTTAAGTAGCTGTGGGAGATCCATTCCACGTCAACAAAAAACGAGAGCAGTCGCTGCCCCGCCACCAGTCCCAGCATCGCCCCCGTATCCAGGCCGAGACCCTCTCCCCGCCACCCATGGGTGCCATGCCGAGAGCTTCCCGCACGGAGCGGGAGGTGGCCGAGGAATGATCAGCTACGGCTGTAAAACCTAAAACCCAGCTAATTTCGGATTAAGTGCCATATGAAAGGGTTTTGTTATTTTAAATCTCCTGCTTTCAAATTCCCAGGATTAAAATTCTCCGCATTTATTTTAACCGCATACATTTGCAGACAAATCACTTCTCCCAGCGCAAAGTTTGAAGCAGGCTTAGGATGGAGAGGCCAGCCACGGTCTTCAGAGGCGGATTGCTGCAAGTGTCTGCGAGCCTGATTTTATGGTCCCTGGCTGCAGGAGAGCTCAACTCCCATTCCTGCCGCGGAGCAGGCGGGAAGGGGCTCAGCCCGCGAGGTGCCAGGCTCCCTGGGAGCAAAGACGCCTGGAAATCTGATCCCTGACGTGGGGGTGAGCGCTTGGGAAATCCTGGCGAGGCTTGAAGCCTGAACGTACCTGAAGAGCAAAGAGAAATCAGGTGCCGGGAGGGGCAGGAAAAGCAGCTGCCTGTGGGCAGCAAATCCCCCCGCTCTTCGCCGAAAGCGCCGTCGGAGCCTGGCGAACGTCACCCTCTCGCGTGCTTCCCGCCTGGAGCTGCACTTCCTCCCGGCATCCTCTCCYGGTGCTTCCCAGGAGCTTGCATGGTGGGAGCCACGTGGGATTATGGAGTGAAGGTGGCCAGTCGCCCCCGTGCCGCTGTCGTGCTGCTCCCCGCGGATCTCTCCGGCACGGTGCTTCCCGCAGGACTGCGCCCTGGCTCCCAGCACGGCCCCGGCAGCCGTTCCCAAGTGGGGATGACTCCAGCGAGACATCGAGATGTTCGCGGTTCATCCTTGCAGTGGAGCAGGGCCGGGGGKCCCAGCGATGCTCGGAAAGCTCCCAGAGCTGCAGCACCCAGCGGGCCTCGCTCAGCCCCCGCGCGCAGGGAGCCGGTTGCTCCTGGGGAAAGAGCGCGAGTCCTGCCGGGAAGAGCCCTGGGACGGCGGCGCCCAGGCCCCCTCCTGCGCCCCCTCCCGCCCCGCCAGCCCTGCTGGGGATGCTGCGCTCCCGTTGCCACGGCAACCCCCCTGCCTGCGCGCGTTGCCATGGCTCCCGCATCCTCCTGCGGGGAAGGGACCGCTCGGCCGGGCCACGGGGGACGCCCGGGGAGGCGCCACAGAGACTCTGCGCCAGCCCCGTGCGGGACGGGGACCCCAGAGCGCTCCCCACGGTGCCTGAGAGGGCGACACCGGGGCCCGCTCCGGCTTTGCCACCTTGGCTCCTTCCAGCGCGGGAAACACCCGTGGGTGCGGGGGCTGCAGGTGCCGTTGGCAGCAGCCACATGCACACTCAGCATCAGCGCCAGCCCCTCCAAACCTCCCCTTGCCTGCAGCAATGCAAGCACCGGCGCTGCCAAGCAGGGCTGGCATTGCTGGGSACGGGGAGAGCTGCTGGGCT